ATATATATATATATATATATATATATATATATATATATATATATATATATATATATATATATATATATATATATGTGTGTGTGTGTGTGTGTATATATATATATATATATATATATATATATATATATATATATATATATATATATATATATATATATATATATATATATATATATATATATATATATATATATATATATATATATATATATATATATATATATATATATATATATATATATATATATATATATATATATATATATATATATATATAGATATAGATATATATATATATATGTGTGTGTATATATATATATATATATATATATATATATATATATATATATATATATATATATATATATATATATATATATATATATATATATATATATATATATATATATATATATATATATATATATATATATATATACACACACACACACACACATATATATATATATATATATATATATATATATATATATATATATATATATATATATATATATATATATATATATATATATATATATATATATATATATATATATATATATATACACACACACACACATATATATATATATATATATATATATATATATATATATATATATATATATATATATATATATATATATATATATATATATATATATATATATATATATATATATATATATATATATATATATATATATATATATATATATATATATATATATATATATATATATATATATATATATATATGTGTGTGTATATATATATATATATATATATATATATATATATATATATATATATTATTTTGTTTAGAATTATTAGGTTTAGATTTTTTTTATTATATTAATAATATATTAATTACAATTTTTGATGGTAATATTTTATTTGGATTTAGTTTTTTTTTTGTATTTTAATTTTGTTTGTTTAATTATTTGTTTGATTATTAATTAATTTAAATGTTTTTATTTAATATTAATTAATTAAATTATTAATTAATCTTTATTAAATATTTATATTTAAATTGATTAATAATTCTTCGTTGCCCGATTCTATTTTTTGGTGACGTGCTTGCTCTCATTTTTTTTTTTGGATTTATTCTATCTGAGTAATTCACAATGCTTTGCCGTGAGTGTGTTGATTTTACGTGTTGATATTTCTCGCGATGCTTTGTCGCGTATCTTTGTATGATTACCATGATGTTTTTCCATGTGTATTTTGTACTATTTTGTCTGTCTGATCACGCATAATGTTTTTCCGCATATCTGTTATTTGTTACTCGCGATGCTTTGTCGCGTATCTTTGTCTGCTGATTACATGATGCTTTTCCGTGTATTTCTGTTGACTTTTCACTGTCATACCATGATATTTTTTTATGCGTATTTTGTACTATTTTGTCTTGTCTGCCATTTACATGATGTTTTTCTGTGTATATGTGGCTTTCTATTCCTTGTTGACCTAATCAAAGGGAAGAGATTGTATGTTGACTTATCGTCATTGTGCATGTCCCTCGTCTGTTCTTTACTTGTCTTAGGTATAACCAACCCCCGAACCTTAGATCTCTTAGTTGTATTGTTACATAGCGCACTTAGAGTTTTCTTCGATCTTTAACCTTTCATGATTTGTGATTCAAGTTAATTCAATAGCTTGATATCTGATTCTCGCCGCGACAGACACATTTCTTTCACTAGTCTTCTTAAAAAATATTCCTTTTCCAAGACTTACCTTTAAATATCTCAGTATCCTATAGACTGCCTCAAGACGTTCCTTCGAAAGGAGAATGCATAAACTGACTTGCTACACTGACTAAGAAAGCAATATCATGTCAGGTGTGAGACAAATAAATCAACCCAACCAATCTCTGATATCTTATGGTATCAACAGGAACATCCATTCATTCATGTTTCTTTCAATAAGTCTAGAATGTTGTGAAACCATAATACCATTCTTTGACCGAGCAACCTCCATACCTAGAAAATATCTCATGAATCTCAAGTCCTTGATTTCAAAGTCTACTGCTAATTTCTCTTTTACCCTTGATAATTCCATTGTATCGTCTCCAATAAGGACAATATCATCAACATAAACAATCAGGGCAGCAATTTTCCCATCGTGGAGGAACTTTGTGAACAAGGTGTGGTCAGCCTGTCCTTTGATGTACTCTTGTTTCTTCATGACTAAATGAATTTTTCAAACCAGACTTTGGGGAACTGCTTAATCCTTACAGAGACTTATTTAGTTTGCATACATTTGATCCAAATTTGTTTTCAAAGCCAAGAGGAATGTCCATATATACTTCTTCTTCTAAATCACCATTAAGAAAGGCATTCTTAACATCTAACTGATGTAAGGTCCAATCCAGGTTAGCGGTAAGAGATAAAAGAATTCTTACAATGCTCGATTTTGCAACATGAGCAAATGTCTCTGAGTAATCTATACCATAGGTTTGAGTAAAGTCTTTAGCCACCATGTGAGCCTTGTATCTTTCGATTGATCCATCTGAATTATACTTCACAATAAACACTCATTTTCATCCAATTGTCTTCTTTTCATCTAGTAGCAACGTAACACTTCAAATTTTGTTCTTTTCAATAGCTTTCATCTCCTCAAGTACAATTTCCCTCCACTTTGGAATTTCTAGAGCAGCCTGTACACTTTTTGGAATTTCTACATTGGACAATTTTAAGGTGAAGGCAGACATAGATGAAGACAAATTTGATTATGATATAAAATTGGACATGGGGTGTTTAGTACAAGATTTGACAGGTTTTCTAATGGTAATAAGATCATCTATATCAGGATACAAAATACAAATCTCAGAAATAGAGATAGGCTCGCCTTTCCTTTTGTTATGAGGTTGATCATTTCCCAGTTCAGATTGAGATGTGGACTCGTCCCTTCCTTTATGGTGCTTTTCACAAAAACCTTCCATTTCCAAGTCTTGTTTCCTAATTCAAATTTGTTTTCTTGAAGTAACTCATTATTGTATGACATCTCAATTAGATCATCATTATTATCGTTTTCAGGATTCTCATTATTTTCTATGAGAGGAAATGTAGGCTCGAATTCACAAGGCTCCTTACTCATAACAGAAGTATGATCAAAAAAAAAAACATGGTCATTTTCTGTTAATACAGATGTAAAAGTCTCTAAATTTTTTGGTACAAGTTATTCCGTAGTGAGTGGAAGCTAAGTCGAAGGGGATTTCTTCCCTTGATCATAATTACTAGCCTGAAATGCACGACCACCTTTCTTCTTCCAGTTAGGATGTTTGTCTTTGAGCTTCCAACAAGTTTCACGTGTATGTCATTTGCGCTTGCAGTGATCACACCAAGGAACTTTGTGTGACCATTTTCTCTCATCAAGGTTCCTAGTAGGCAAAGTTAAGCCTTCAGATTCTGAGCTTTATGGTGTCTTGCTTATCATGATTCCTTGTTGTGTCTCCTCACTTCTTATTTCTGCAAAAGTTTTACAGAGAGTTGACATTGGTATTTTTTCTCAAACTCTACCTCTTGCCTCATCAATGCATTTATTGAGCCCAACGAGAAACATATAATTATTTTCTTTCCTCTTGAGAAACAGAACATTGTCTTATGTACACTTCCAATTGTCATCATAATAGAGATCCAACTCTTGCCACAGAGTCAACAGCTCATTGTAATAAGCATTTACACTCCTATCACCTTGTTTCGCATGCCATAACTTTGATTTTAAACCAAAAATTTGGAAAGAGTTTTAAATATCAGAGTATTTTTCCTTAACAGCTTCTCACATATCCTTTGTAGAAGGTAAAAACATATAAGACTTACATATTCCAGTTTTCATAGAGCTTACCAGCCACGCAATAATCAATGAGTTTTCAGACTTTCATTGTTTGTAACGAGTCTCCTATTGTCAGTTTAACTACTGCTCATGTTAAGAAACCAAGCTTCCCTTTGTTGTCTAATATCAAACGATCAGCTTGTGCCCATTCTTATAGTTATTCTCATTCATCTTAGGAATATTGACCTTGAGGGAGTATGAGGAACCCTCTTGGTCATTGCCCCCATTACAGTCAATATTTGTGTCCACCGATGTTTCATCTTGTGTGTCATCTCCGCGGCCACCACCGTTTCCGCAGCCGACACCCAACTCAGGTTGCGGTTGTTCACCATGGTTGTGTCCAGTGAAGGCCTGTGCTAGGAAATGCCACCTATTGTTATTATTCGCCATATGAGGCTAAACAGGTATTTGAAGCGGTCGTGTAAGAAAACGAAGATAATAGGTTTCCAATAAATTCTAACCTAATGCTCTTGATACCATATTAGAGATAATAGATAAAATGTTATATTTTATTCCTCAACCAAAGACTAATTTATATAATGAGAATACAATCAATACACTTAATTCTCTCCTTAATAAAAAATAAAAGAAAATAAATAAAAATAAACAAAAACAAATCAAGTAGATAAATAAATTATTTTCCAGTAAAAGAAGGTTTGGACATGTGAGTAAAAAGGTTTGGTGACAAAGTGAAGAAACTAAACTTCTATGATTAACAAAGAACTAAAGGCATCTAAGATTTGATACATGTTGATCTATGGGACCAATTATAACTCTATTTCCTTCGGGTGTAAGATACTTCCTGACTTGTGTAGATGATTTCTCAAGAATGTTGTGGATTCCCATTCTCCAAACTAAAGATGAGGTTTATGAGACCTTCAAGAATTGACGAGAATCAAATTGAAAGAAAAATCAAAAGATTTCATTCAAATAATGGTCTTGATCTTGAATCCTGTTTTTACTTTTCAGTGTTTATCGCAAAAGGTGGGAAAAACTAGGCATAAATCAATTGTTAGGACACCCCACTAAAATGGCCTAGCTTAAATGTTCAATATACCCATACTTGAAAGGGTTAGATGCCTATGTCCCAAAGATCTTTTGAGTTGAAGTTGTGATAACAGCTTGTTTCTTGATAAATGCATGTCCATCTATAAAACACTATACTATTATTTTCTTCTTTTCTCTTTTTGTTTAAAATCATCTGAGGGCTCTACTTGAGGAGAGACCCTCTTTACAGCGTATTCATTTTCATGACCACCAAGAACAGCATTCTTATCTGGCGCATGAAATTGGTCCATTTTTTTGCAGAATGGTTCATCATATATAAGATAAACTGCTGTCTTCTTCACAACAACGCCGTTCCCAAAAATGACAACAATCTCCACTTTGTCACCGGGTTCCATAGTTGATACGACTCTCTGCCATTCCTCATTTTCAAAGAAGGATAACGCCTCTCTCTTGTAGAGTTGAATGGTAGCCTTTGTGTGATTTATCACCAATACATTTTTAAGACCATTCGATGTAATTTCGTCTGGACCTAAAGAAAGGACAATGCACACCACTGTCTTCAAGCTACGTTCTTCCACTTGGGCGACTTCAAAAATTACAGAAGATCCTTCTGAATTGAAAGATAACCAATTGGGGTAGTTATCACCGGGGAGCGAAAAATAACCCCACCCATCGACAATCGAACTCTGTAAAAAGGTGAAGTTACAAAATAGGCTCAAAAGTTTATTTAACAATATATTCATACGACCTTATCATTTATCCAACAATCAAATATATAATAGTCCTCATAAGATAATTAATTGCATTTCTATGAATAAAAATCATGATTTTTTTTTTCTAATTGAAAAAGTTCTGACGTAATGATATTTTAAAGGGGGGAAATCATTACTCAATTTTAAAAGTTACAACATGCGCTCGTTCCAACACACCCTGTCTTATTAAAACATATAAGAATTGAAAAGTACACATGCATGTGTGGGGGAGATTGAAACCTGTAAGATCCTCTCTTTCAGAATGTTGGTGATTAGGCAACTCATTCCCATTTGAATTATAAGAGACTTCGTGGAATTTCTGGAAGTTGAAACATGCGCTTGACTTTGACATTCAACTATCAATGAAGTCTTCACATCTGATACTTGCGATGTAGTTGCAATTGAGTCTTCCAATGCACTTAAAGCATTTAAAATTCTTGTTTTGTCTTGTGAAAGTTGAAACTCTGATCCACACTCTAGCCAAAGAGTTTGAAGCTTTGGAATGGAAATGGTAATAGATGATAGATCGTGGGAACTTCTGCTTGATGAACCTATAGAAATAAAAGATGACATGCCAGTAGTTGTTTGAACAGGGGGTGACAGATGATTTATTGGTGACATCCAAGACTGAATGATGGACGGAAACACATAACGTGAGAATCCTTTGTATCCGCACAAAGAAACGTATCCAATGCTTTTTGACCTTACTATTGAAAAGGGCACTTTTGTTATAGCTGTGTTATCTGCCATCAGAGTGGTTAAAGATTCCATCTGTTCAAAGTCTTCTTCCAAATTGTCAAGCATTAAACAACCGGATAAAATGAGAGATTTCAGAGATTTCAACGTATAGATGTTCCTTGGAAGGTTACAAAGGCTTAAACAGTCTTTCAAATTTATAAGAAGAATTTTATTGAGATGTCCGATGCTATGGGATACCTCAGACAACCTAGGACAATCTTCGAGTACCAGTTTTTCAAGATTAGGCAAGTATGAAAAGTCAGGGGTCTGTGTCAGATAATGAGAATGACTAAGATTGAGAATTTTCAGCTTCTCCATCCTCTGCAAGAACAAAAACGTAGAGAACTTAAATGTATAAAAAGATAAATGGAAGCAATTACAATTTACAATGTATCACCAACCTTGAGAGAGGTGAGTAAAATATTAATGTACCAACAGTTTTTAATACCAATCTACGTTGGTTTAGTATTAGAGTAAATGGTCAGCATCAATAGAAAATGTAAATTATTGATTACTTGAGAATTATATTTGTAATTGACATGAATGAAACCAAATGTCTTAATGTATTCGTAAATTGAATCATAAGTAACATACCAACTCTTTGTCCTAAACTTACATAAATCTGAGGATCCCAAAACCCCACCAGGGTCTGATTCAATTAAAAATATAGGGTTTTGTGCAGAAACAGGCTCAGATTCTGAGCGCATCACAGTACGGATGGTGCTTCAAAAACCACAGGATCGTGCAATCACATGAGACACTTGCAATCCCACCAACTCAGTATAACATCTTGACCAGTCTAGCAGTTACTACCTTTGTCTCTAAAATAAGACTTTTTGAGATATTTTCTTATATTTAATAGGACCCCTATTAAATTTTCAACTGCATTAATTATTTCTTTACCAAAAATATTTCTAATGATGTTACATCTTTTTCTGCAACCCGCAATAAATACTTATGATGGAATATGTAAAGCAATACCAATAGACAAAAAAAAAACTAATACTACTATCAACTTTCTTAATTCTCGTGATTTAATCAACAGAGTCCTATATTAATGAACATATGTAGTATTATTTAATCCATTAAAAACGATATATGGGACTCCATGAAAAGTGAAAACAACTCAAAATACTAAAAATTGAACTCAAAAGTAGTACCTGCATCTCTTTCCACACAAGTTTGACATTGCTGTTTTCTAACTCGAGGGAAATTAAATTTCTTTGATAAAAGTTTGAAGGTATGTATGTTAAAGGAAATCCTTTCCAATACAGCCATCTCAAATTTCTTGAAAGATATTTAAAATCTCCTTCAAGTTGTGCACCAGAAAGTTGAAGCAATCTGAGTTTCTTCATGTTCTTGAATGCTTTGGTACTAAAACATTGTGTACTAAAACTTGGCAGCTTTAATATCAGTCCCTCAACATCAATTGTTCCCTGTGAAATATAATGGACCAAAAAGTAAAACATGTTATGGAGAAGCACAATCATTTGTGTAAAACTAAAAGATACAAGGCAGATAAAAAAACTTGAGATGATTAAAATCATTGTTACTAGGAACGAGGAAGCACAAAACAATCCACAACCAAACTAATATTCAAAGCTTTTGTGTTAGACCGCACAAATGAATGTTGACTACTAACTCAAATTTTTCTTTTTTTCCTTCTTTGAGCTTAAGATATTTTAAATTTTATTTTCTTATTTACCTAAAAAACAATTTAAACCAGAGTTTAAAAAAAGTATATGAAGCTCTTACAGTATGTTCAGATAATACATCAAGCACATCCTCGTGAAACCATAACCTACTATGTTCCTCAGGCTTCTTTGGTGATTTTTCCCGAATGATTTCTCTTCCCATATCTCGCAGCAAATCATGCATGACTAGCTTGTTCTTATCATCAACTGTTACAAGGCTTCGCTCAACAAGGATACGTATTCCAATTTCTGCGAAAAGTCCACAACCATTTAATATATGAATAACATCATGTAGGTCCATCCCAATAAAGAAACAGGCTATGTCAAGGAATATTTCTTTCTCTGTATCATCATTTAAGCCATCATAGCTTATTTTTAACTTCTTGTATACTTGATCATTGGGAATTCTTTTGAGTTTCTCCAATACACAATCCCACTCTAATACCTCTCGATCAAATAAATAGGATCCAAGGACTTCAAGAGCTAGCGGCAATCCCCCAGAATACTTAACTACATTTCTTGAAATTTCAGAAAAATCTTCTTTAGGGCTTGTTTGCTTGAATGCATGCCAACTAAAAAGCTCAAGAGATTCCCTATCATCCATTTCTTTCATCATGTATATTTTGTCAACTCTATTCCCTCTAAGTATATGCTTATCTCTTGTTGTGATGATTATTCTACTCCCACGAGCAAACCATTTACGATTTCCACACAGAGCATTTAGTTGGTCCAATTTATTTACATCATCAAGTATAAGAAGTATTTTTTTATGACAAAGTCTTTCCTTAAACATACATTTTCCTAACTCAAGGCTTTGTATTTTGGTTGTTTCTTTGAAAATATCATGCATGAGTTGTTCTTGTAAATATGTTGGTCCAGTAACTTGCTCCCAAACCTCTCTAACATTTCCAAGAAAACTCCTACCTTCAAAATTGCGGCCAATTTTATTGTAAATGGCTTTTGCAATGGTGGTTTTACCAATTCCACCCATTCCCCACATCCCTAGTAGTAGAACATCATTTGATTGTTGAGAGTCTAGAAGTTGAATCATATCTTGCACTCGAGATTCTACTCCAACCGGATTATCAGCGATGAACAAATCTGTCTTGTCAAGCAAACGTGTAACATTTGCAACAATACTCTTGACAATCTCACATTCGTCCCTGTAAAAAATGGTACATTTACATGCATTGTGAATTATGTATCATAAGTAATTACCAATGTATGAACGTATGTATGTTAAGTATGTATGTTAAATTTGCAGGGGAAATTTGAGTAAGAAATGTATTGTTGGATGTCTTTATGTGCAAACTGAATCACATCAAAAAGTTGTAATTAGATTGAAAGTATTGACCAAGAAAGGATACACTATTATTATGTCACATCTTAAGCAAACAAGAAAGGATTCACCTGACACGAATGTCGAGTCAACGCATCAAAAAAACTAATTAACTTGTTGAGTTGGTGGCTATGAATCACAGGCACAACACGAACACAAGACACATACTGACATGTAGATACCACCGATAATGATTGAAGAAAATCAGAGTAATTGAATGTAATCACATGTTTGTGTCAAACACCAGACCTACTTTAAGCTGAAATGTTGGTACTACATAGGTTGGAGGAGGGTCATTTGCTAGATTCTAGAAAACCAATCATTTAGAAGGTTTACACAACTAAAAGAATGGCAAGACCTAAGAACTACCATGTAATACCAGTTACTAGGTAACTATGAGAAGGGAGGCTTAAGAAACTTCTGTATTGGGAAGTTAATATGATGGGAGACTCCAGCATACATTAGATATTGGGAGAATGGAGAGTAGGGTTGCTCATGGTTGGTTTAACCACATTAGCTATTGTGAGAGTGAAGAGTAAGGGGGTTTAACCATATGACCGACCCATACCTATGTATAATTCATTTTTATAACCGGATATGAAGACCAATCCTAGTTACCAGATAAAAGATTTCCAACCACAATAAGAGTCCTTATAAATTTACATTTTTTGTTTTAATATCTTACTCCACTTTTAGTTACCTTTAGTTTGTAGATACTACAAAACTTTTAGTTCCTAAAACGGAACTAAAAACATAATGTTTTCTAATTTGTAGGACTAACAATGGAGTAAACAAATTATTTCTAACTTTGTAGGAAACTTTTAGATAGGTCATGAGATTAAGAATAATTTGAAAAGATTTCTGATTATTACAAACTATTAAGTTGCATTATCTATGAAGCAGGACAGCAGAGAAACACCACGTCGACACCACCAGTAATAATTTAAAAAAAAATGAAAAAATTACAACTCTGACCCACCTATTTTCAGAGTTGTTTGTACTTCGGGGTGAATTATATACTTAGCTTAAATTTTCAGAGGTGTCGGTACTTCCGGATGAATTATATACTTAGCTTAATGAATAAAAATCAGCAAAGCCTTAAAATAAAAAGAAGATTGAAGAGCATAAATGCAATAATAACCTGGAACTTAGTACAACAAACCCCGAGAGACCTGCGGCCTCGTGAAGTGCCGATCTCCAACTTTGCTCCATGTACAACTCCTCAGCCGCCGAAAATCTGTTCAAAAGACTTTGAAAAGCTTTACCAAACTCCCCTGTCTGCCTACGAACTTCCGACGGATACATATCATAGAACACGGGCAATACAACTTGGCCAATAGTTTTGTGACACTCCATAATTTGAACCAACTCTTGAAGACACCAGGGTGAATCTGCGTAGTTTTTCGAGAACACAATAATAGAAATCACAGAATCTTCTATTCCTCGCAGTAGTGACTTTGAGATGTGATCTCCTCTTTGAATCGATTGATCGTCCTTGAAAACTATGATTCCGGCGTTTTGAAGAGCAGCGGAGAGATGTGAAGTGAAAGATACACGAGTGTCTTCGCCTCTGAAACTCAAAAACACGTCGTACTTTCTACTGATTCTGGCGGGGATATCTAAACCGAAGAATGGGAAGTTTAGGAAATCATCGTTAACCAAATCTTCTTCGTCGTCACCGGAAAATGGACTTCGGGAAGACATGGAAGATTTGAGATTTCGTGAAATGAAGCTATAGTTGTTTGATTTTCAGATCCAGTGGAGCTAGGGTTTTAAGACTTTACCTTCTTTCCATATTTGTCATGTGTTATCGTATCAATCACACAAATTAATTTCTCACTAAATATATCTATTAAAATTAACTTCTCAAACTATCTAAAATCTTTGCTTCCTAAATATTGATTTACACTATTAAAAGGTAAAAAGAAAAAAATTAAATAACTAATATTTTAATTTTTTTCTAATACACTCTACCAAAGTGATATATAGTCTAATTCCTATCTTTCTTCTACGTTAATTTACATTAATAAAATATTAAAAATAAATAAATAACTAATATCTCATTTTTTTTATTTCAATCATTATAATTATAATATATAATTATCATATTAAATATTTATTGGTGTATAAATATATATAATAAAATAATAAATTCTTATTTTTAAATGTCAAAATTTCTCTTTTTCTCACATGTCACAATCAACAAAATATCTATTTTATTTTAATTAACAATTATATTTATTTGAAACACAAAATTGTTATTTTCAAATGTTAAAAATTCTATTTTTTTTACCGGTCACTATTATCAAAAAAATCTATTTTATTTTAATTAACAATTATTTTTATTTGAGACACAGAATTATTATGTTCAAATGTCAAAATAAATTTATATTATCATTATTTATTTTATAAACTCATTTCAAATTTGCATCTATATATCTATATAAAATCTATATTGTATTAAATAAATTTATTTGCGCGGACATATGAGTATTTTGTTAGTTTTTTTTTTTGTCTAAAAAGTCAAAATGTGGAGAACTGTTTCTCTTTTCATAATTGATTAAATTTGTGAAACTTCAAAAAGATTAAATTTATGTATGTTACTTTGAGCATCTAACTTGCAACCTCCACGATTGTATCGGATACTCTTATATTTAGAGCATTTGTATTGTTATATCCTTTATCAAATATCGAAATTTTTGAAATATACCTATTTTTTTATTGGAAATTTATACTGATGTTCGACAAACAGTCTCAAAGTGCTTCAAGTGTTCGACAAACTCAATTTCTCTATGAGCATACATGATGTTCCGTAGATCCATGACATGTTCTTATCTTTCTAATTTAACATACTATTTACATTTCATACTAAAATTTTTTTAAATATGGAACAAACACAACATATGAACTAAATTTGGAAACACAACTTCCATGACATTCATCAATGCAAGTTCTTGGTTCATCACCACAACCTTCAGAAGCAAATCCTCGTAAGAGAACAACTTTTTGAGCTTCTTTAATGTCCATTTAAATTTCTCCTCCCTTTCATATTCCAAATAGGAAAAGTCTACCGGAAACGTCAACTTTGTTGACATAACATCAATAATCTTAAGCAGTGGTAGTCGATACATGTATCATCATGATGCACATAAACAAAAATCTGATAAATCAAAAAGATATCAAAAATCAACATCTGATCATTACCTATTTGTCTTGTAGGTACAATAAAAAAAATCAACACCAAATGAAACATATTCAACAAATTCACTGAATCAGGATGTGTCCAAAAAATATTAGCAACAACATTTGAGTCTTCCATATTTCTAGTCTAGCACATGCATTTTTCTTTATGAATAAGACTCAACAACATTTTCATTTTCGTCAATGGACCTCTCTTGCTCGCATTGTATGTAGCTCTAGCTTTATACATCTGGGTAACACTAGTAAGGTTTTCTGAATCTTTGTATTTCAAAATAGCAATTATGTACCGTGGAGTCATGTTGTACTTTGTCATGTCATTCACAAACTGTCTTTCATGAACTTTTAGACGACCCAATATGTCATGGCCTTCTAAATCCTAATAGAGTTTATGATTCTGTAACCCACGCCTAACTATCGCCTTCGAACTGTTACCAATTGGCACAAATTCCAGCCTAAAAGGATATTTCACTTTCACACTATAAATGTACTTTGAGGATTTATTGCTTTCAGCTGCATTCTTTCTCTTGTAGTTTCCTTCTCTCACAACCCATAATCAATTTATCTTTTCTATCTCACTTACCATTTACAGTATCAGAACAAATTGTCACAATAATAATAACATGTTATTTACCAATAGTTTGTGTTCATGTTAATACTTCAAATCAGGACTCAAATATCTATCATTTACAACATATAAAAAGTATATTCTTAATATCATATAGAAGCGGGAAAACATTTAAATTAAACTTGTTACATAGAAAACATATTGTGTTAATGGTGAAAAGAAATGCGTAAAATCTATACATGAATCTATAGAATACTTTGTCAGCTTTGGACTACACAAATAAAGCATTTTTCTCCACTGCCACCGAAAATTTTGAGTATGGACAAAATTTTCGGTATATCGAAAATTTTGAAATTTCTGGTGTACACGAAAATTTGAAACTTCTGGTATACGCGAAAATTTTAAATTTTCGGAAGTTTTTTGTAGTTTTCTGGAAATTTTAATAATTTTCAGTGTGGGTATGGGATTTTCTAGGAATATATCGGATTTTTCAAAAAAAATCATATTCCTTCAACGGAAATTTACAAAATTCTGGTAAAAATGCGAGATTTTCAAAAAATGCGTACTAGAAATTTCAGTTTTGGGATGTTAGTAAAAGTAAAAAAATTGAAGAAAAGTAAAATTTGATTGATAAATAATAGTAAGGATAATTTTGGAATTATGAAAACACGGGGATGTCAGGTACAACTAAGGGGTGACAAGTTAAATGCTCGTTAAGTTTGGCTTTTTGACCATCCTAAAACTTCAAAAGCCTCTAAAAACCCACGTGTTTTAGAGAGAAGATCTTATCCTGACATCTCCATTACCTTTGGTGTGGCTCCATCTGGATTTTATCGTCCTCCTTCTCTAACCTTTCTTGGCTGCATCTTTCTAGGGTTCTCTCTTGAGATATTTTTCTTTGGCTCTTCGGTGATGTTTCTTGGTTTGACACTTTCTCATTTTCGCCTCAACGACAGAGCTCCATGGGATCCCTCACTTTTCGAACCTTAGAATGGATTGATGGAAGAATGTTCCCCTTTTGGAAGAAGAAGAAGAAGAAGAAGACGAAGGAATAACGGTGAATGTGGAAGTTGAGTTATGAGATGAAGCTTATCATAGGACCCTAGTAGGGATGTTTTGGACAGATAACCCTTTTAATGTTAGAGTTTTCATGGAAACAATGATTTAGGTGTGGTGGCTTAAGAATAGTGAGGAGGCGCAAGATCTAGGTAAGAATATGTTTCTATTTCGATTTTCAACCAAGTGTAACACTGATACGATGCTTAAAGGAGGTTCTTGGAACTTCAATATGAACCTTCTTATTGTGGTAGGATTGACATCAGCTCAAGGATCTTGAGGACCTCGGTGACAGTGAGGTGGAAAGATTCGGTAAAATTGAAGAGAATGATATTTTTGTTAGGTCTTGGATAAGGGTGTATCCCTTACCAATGTACTCCAATGAACCTAAGAAGGAACAAACATTGGGTAGTCGTAGCAAAAACCTTTGTGAATCTTCCAACCTTAATAAGGGCAGTGATGCTAGAAAGGATAATGAGGTGGTAAAGGAAAGGAAAAACCTAGGTAGAGAGGAAGAGAGAAAAAACCAATGAGCAAGGATGACTTAGGTGTGAGTGGAGGTAATAAGGAAGTAAAGATTGTTGCTAAATCTTTAAGCGTCGTGATCAGTGCATCTTAATGCATATTCTCTTATGCTTTTACTTAGGCATTTCCTTAGTTTGTTTTGTTTATTATATTGTTTTATTGTACTTTTAGAATTAAGTCTTTGTTTGCCTTTAATCTATTTTCGCATCTTATTTTCAACTTTTGTAGTTATTTGATATATGTTCATTTTTTGGACCATAACTGAAGCTACGAGAATCAGATTTGAGTTTTTTAATAGGTGTTGGAAAGGTAAGATAGAGAGCTACAAGTTTCATGTTTGAGTAAAAAGCTGATACGGAGTGTAGAGGACTCAAATAATTCGTTGAAATCAGTACCTGAAATCTGCCATTAGAAATATTTAGTTTTGGGTCAAGTCTTTTATGTTTTTCGACCTAGTTGGATTAGAACCAGATTTTGTGATGCTTCCCTATATCTAGTAGCAGTCGTGCTACTATTCATAACCTTCTTTTTACGAATTTTATTATGCTTTGTACGAATATCATGGCAAACTAATCCCAAGGGGCGATCTGCTGAATTTGAATACCACAAAACTTTGAGATTATTATCAATTTCGATTTAATTTAGTTCCTTTCCAATTTGTTCTATAATTTTCGTTTGCTTAATTCATTTCTTATAGAAAAAATTTGATTTAATGTGATTGATATACGTTCCTTACTTTAATCGTATTTAACTTAGCTTTTTCGTTAATTTGCGCTATCTTTAACCGT